AAGGAAGAATAAGGGGAACTGGGGTTATTCCACTCAACAAAGAAGACTTGGGTTGGACTGAGGGGTACAATTCCATCTTTTCTGTAAGCACCAAAACACTGTCAGTCTGAGGACTTTTCTTCAGGCCCTCAGTCATGAGGCACGTGGTGTGGGTACTGCCATCCATTTAACACAAATGAGAATGACGGGGCTTTCTTCCTGTGCTTTTCACTCTGCGGCAAGCTATGTCTCTATAAGGAACTTTTATTTGATAAGTGCTTGCCTGGAAAATAATGGCCAGCTTGTTTTCATCTATGCTGAAAGGTAAAATCGAAGAGATGGGCTTTATGACAGACCCACTGATCAGGCAACCAAATGATAAAATGATCTCATACATTGAGCACACTTTTACTGCATAGCTACTATGTGCAGTCTGGATAGGAGAGCAGTCTACAGTTAGGCAGGCTAACGGTGTGTCTTCTCAAGTCCCTGGGCTGTCCTGGGGCAGGGTTCCTCCCCCGTCTGAAGTGGCTGATGCGCAGCACAGAGGGAGTCTTATCTGTAAGGCTGGTGGGGTGCAGCAATTACCAGAAAGGCTCGTCAGACAGGGGTATTTTGGTTGAAGGGCAAGGCTAAGGATGGGATTAGGGATTGCAAGGACCTTGAAGTTCCAAAGGCAGAAAGAGCGGGGCTGGGCAGGCCCTGAGTACCATCTGACTCCTTTCCACCTGAGAAGACTTCCTGGAAGAAAATAAGGTTCTAAAAGATTTGGGGAGCGCAGGAATAAAAAGACATAGCAGATGGCCTGGGAAGAAGGGGACAGTTCCTTAAGTCTCCTCATCAGCGCCCAGGGCTTCCAATCCCCTTGGCATGTTGATGACTTCCCAATGTGTATCTTCTGGCCAGACCAGTTGCCCACTTCAGACTTGTGTATCCAAGTCTCAAAATCCACACCTCCGCAACTGGGCTCTTGATTGTCACTCCTGATCTGTTACTTTACCACCAATACTTACCATCTCAGAAAAGGCCAATTCCTCTGTCCAGTTGCTCAGCCTCAATGCCTCCCTTTCCATCACCCTCCTCCCTCCAACATCTAATTCATCACTAAGTGCTTCTGACTCTCCCTCCGCAAACATCTAGGACTTCTAGAATCTGTCTACTGCTCTCTATTCCCGTGGCCACTGCACCAGCACTGGGACAAGCCCCCTTTCATCTCTCCCCTTGATTGAGTGTAGTTTCTCATAACCGGTATTCTGCCTCTCTCCAACCCAGGCCGAAGTTTCAGTGAATTTTTAAAGACCTTTCAACATCTTTCCAATGCACTTAGGATAAAATCCCAGCTCCCTTTAAGTCATATGTGGTGTTCTAGCCCAGGCCTTATTGCCAGCCACTGTTCCTTACTCTCTGTACTCCAGACACATCAGTTTTCCTCCAGTTCCTCCAATGAATATGACACGCTGTCGCTTGCCTTGAGGCCTATGATCGCAATGTAGACGTGAAAAGTCTCTGCCAATTCAGGGGCAGCTCCAAACAAAGTGTACCCATCAGAGGAGCCATGCTTTGGGCAGAAATGGCCAGCCCAGGTACCTCTGCCTTGCTCAGCCCTTGGCTGGGGGCCACCCCAAAAGGAACATGACCTCAGTTCAAAAGCTGACACCAACCCTGCTAATGCCAACAGCTAGAAGCTGTCAGCTAACTGCAATTCTTGCAGTTGAGTAGTGAATCCTTTCTTGAAGGGGGATCTGAACTGTGCTTCTCCATGTCTGCCACAGAAAGTTCTTCCTGTCACTCCTGCCTCTCCAGTTAATATCTGTCCCTTCAGCAGACTGTCAGTTCCATGAGGGTGTGTGCCCAGTGCCTAGTACAGTGCCTGGAACATAGTGGGTGCTCAACAAAATATTTTTCAAAAAGCAGGAAGGAAGAAAAGAAGGAAGGGAAGGAGGGATGAAGGCAGAAAGGGATAGAGAGAAGGGAGGGAGGGATGGAGGAAGAAAGGGAGGGAAGGAGGAAAAGAGGGAGGAAGGAAGAGAAGACGGAGAAAGGGGGAAGGAGTGGGAGGGAACAGATGTCTGGGTAACTGAGAGGGATCTAAGCTCATGATGGCAATCACTGACCTTCTCTTTTCCCTTTGTACCTGCCCTAAATCCCCATGTTCTCCCACCTCTGGGCCTTTGCATATGCTATTCTCTCTGCCTGGAACAGGTTAACCAACACTCTGTCCACTCACCATTCAGGTATCAGCTTAATCTCACTTTCACAGGGGGATATGCCCTTGAACCCCTTTATCTGCTAGGATAAGTTTCAGTTGCAAGTAACCAAAACTCAATATAACGGCGATTTAAACAAGATAGAGGTATTTCTGGCTCACACAAATGCCCAGAGGTAGGCAGTGCGGGTTGGGTTTGGCCTTTCTAGTCCAGAAAGTTCTCAGTGACCCAGGCTCCTTCTACCTTGTTTTATCCCAAGTGCTTTCCATTCTCCAGGTCACTTATGGTCCAACCCGGCTACTCTGGCTCCAGTTATTACATTTATATTCCAGCCAGCAGGAAAGCTGAAGGGGAAAAGAAGGGCACTTCCTGAAGTTGCATTTACCATTTCCACTTATAGCTATTGTCCAAAACTTAGTGGTCATAGCCAGCTGCAAGGAAGACTGGGAAATGTTGTTATCCCAGCTAGTCGTGTGGTCGATTAAAATTTGGGGCTTTAACTATCAATAAAGGAAAGGATATCAAAGCACAACCCTTAGGAGTCTCTGCTGGAACC